CAGTCGGATCGCCCGCCTTCGGCGGGCGATCCTCCTTATGCGTGTGAAGTGGGTCCCCGGCCATCCAAACTGAGAGGCCAGTCGGATCGCCCGCCTTCGGCGGGCGATCCTCCTTATGCGTGTGAAGTGGGTCCCCGGCCATCCAAACTGAGGCCCAGTCGGATCGCCCGCCTTCGGCGGGCGATCCTCCTTATGCGTGTGAAGTGGGTCCCCGGCCATCCAAACTGAGGCCCAGTCGGATCGCCCGCCTTCGGCGGGCGATCCTCCTTATGCGTGTGAAGTGGGTCCCCGGCCATCCAAACTGAGGCCCAGTCGGATCGCCCGCCTTCGGCGGGCGATCCTCCTTATGCGTGTGAAGTGGGTCCCCGGCCATCCAAACTGAGGCCCAGTCGGATCGCCCGCCTTCGGCGGGCGATCCTCCTTATGCGTGTGAAGTGGGTCCCCGGCCATCCAAACTGAGGCCCAGTCGGATCGCCCGCCTTCGCTACAGAAAATTTTTTTTTGCAATTCCAGAACATTACCGTTTCACATTTGGTATATACCCCCCCCCCCCCCCTAGTGGACGGTTGTGAAATTTTCGTAAAGGAGAGGGGTGGAATGCCGGTACTGGATGCTTAGTGGATGAACTGAAGTGGAAGTATATGGGTATTTGAGTTGTTGTAGAATGAATAGCAGGTAAATAAACAAATAAATACATGCTAAAAATTGGTAGTAGGTTATGAATTTTCGATTACGGCCTCATATTCACTGCTACTCACAGTTGCCCTGCGACTATATTATGAACTTTTGCACAGCAGTGCGCCGCCGGGCTCGCGGCGCACATGCTCCATTCGCTGGGGCTCTTCACCTATCCGTCCCTCGCCCCCCCCCCCCATAGAATGCAGCCCACTCGAATTTTCTGTAACAAAATGCGAGTCGATCACAGAGCGGGTTCATCCAAACACTGCTCGCAAAATTGCTTTAAGTTCTAGCGTAGCAACTGCTCATCTGCCCAATGTTCACAGGGTCAGCATCTGCATTGTATCAGTGTCGTGGCTTTACGATTCGTATGATAACACAACCATGTTATTACCAAGAATACTGATGGAGAGAGTGATTTTTACTTCACACGTCCATTTCAAGTATGCCTTCTTCCATTCAACCTCGACCGACTTCTCACTCCACGTTTTCCCGCTGCTCGGGTAGTTCCGGGTTCGAACTTCGAAATTTTTACTTGGTCCCCGCGTACCCAGACAAACGCCCGCTTAGTGCAATCTGCCGGGCTCTCTCCAACGCCCAGTTCGGATGTGCCTCCTTCTGTTTATCTACCTGCCCACTTTTTACTCGAGTCCGTTTTCCCGCTGCCGAGCAGTTCCGGGTCTGAATTTTGAAGATTTGCGTTAGGCCCGCCCGCCCGTACAAACGCCCGCTCACTTTCGAGATGCACCCACACCCTTGTGGGCTGTGTCTACGTGGTGCATAGATAATGATTTTGTCCCCGCTCCCTGTGATCTTCAGGAGGAATTTACGAATTTTTGTCGTTGGCACTACTCACTTCGGCGCACGCCCCGTCTATCGTAATTGCGAGGCCTGGGTTTGGTATTCGTATAAGTCTCCGACATTGCTTATTTCAACGATGCCCTCACCCCCATCCCAAAGGTTGACGGCGTTCTTTAAGTGTTTGTTACGTTTTTCAAAGAAACACCGCCAGCTGAATATACGCCCCGCCCATTGTGGGCGGGGCCTATTCTCCTATTGGTCCGTCCGACAACACACAGACAACTTCTGCTTTATATATAGGGTATATGATTCAAAAAATACGCTTAAAGACAAGCTTATATGTTCTTACCTCGGGGGTCGTTGTCTATGTGGGAGACAAGGCACGCAGTTGCCATTGGTGTGCCATTTTCTCCTGCTCCAAGAACGCGGGATAAACGGTCCGAAGGGTAGCGGTACCCGAGGGCTCCCTTTATGCTCCGCTAACATACGGTCACACATATTCCTAACTGAAGCCAAAGGCGCTGCTTGTGCCCGCCGTTTCGCTTCATCACCGATGCATGTGCTGCACCTCAAACGCAGTTAGCACGATGGCTCCCCACTTAGCCTAAAATGCTAGTAGGGCGCTGTATAGTGGGGAAATGGCGAAAGAACGGAGTGAAACGGTCAAAATACTGCGAAGAAAAAGCCTCTGTTCTCAGTGACTTGTAAATCTATTTCGGACGAGTTTTCATAGGCATCTTACCAATCACCGCTAACGAAGATACGGCTGGCCATATGCTGTTACCCCACGTACTGCATGCAGCATTCACCTGCCTGTATACAAGAGGTGATGTACGGGGGTGTGACAAGCGATGCCACAATCGAGTTGCCCCCCGGCGGTTCAGCGAAGGTAATCAGTTTGATAGAATCATGATTTATAATGAAAGATTGAGTAAAGACGGAGTCAGAATGTGGAGGGATCACTTGAGCCCAAAGGCGGGACAGGGTTTTGGAGCAACAGTGAGACGTCGCTTCCAAAGGCATGCATATAGGGTGTGGGACAAGAACATTATTGGTGGGTGACAAGAAGTGTTAGTAACTGATAAGACTCGATAACAGGCGTTGAAAGGGAAGGACTACCAAATTTGCGTGTTTAACCAAATTGGAGTACTACGCACGGTAAGTTTATTACGACGTGTTCGTACTGAACCGTATGAACGACCGACAAAATACACTACAGAACTAGGCTTATATACAGGCGAATGTGGGCGGTGCTCAGGTATCGTACCGATGGCGGTACTTAAAATAAGAGTTGAAAGAGCGCACCGTCCCAACGGGAACATATAGAGTATCTACTTGATAACGCACTTACGATACCGCTAGGTCATGCCTGCGGTACGGTTTCAAGGGTGCTTATCTTGGGAGTGCAATTGAGTGGAGCTAATATCTTATCATTCACTCTGATAGGCTGACTCTATAATATACTACTTGAAGGGTTGTGAATCCACAACACTGGGGCGGGGGCGAAATGAGCGGTAGCTCAGTATGATAATTCGAAAGAATAAATAACATAACATCATGACGAAGTCAAATGCTGAAATCACAATGTTAACGAGGAGCTAAACATGATCACAGAAAGGACAAATTGTTTTAGTTTCGAAATGTACAGTCACTAGTTAATCATAGAATTGTTCACAAAAATGTTGTTCTTCTTTGGCGATTGAACTGGAATGCTGGACGTAGTGGTCGCTCTCTTCGTCCTCTTTTGCCACGTCGACTTCTGTAGTCAGTGGCACGATGGTTATGGCAGTTATACTGCATGAGTGGAATTTCGTAAGCGTTGCGGTGCGATAGATCATCTTTGGCGGTGCGTTGACGTAAGTCTTGGGAGAGTTACCGGACGTCACTTCAAGGTATTTCCCGGTGGTATTCGTCTGTGTTGCTTGTTTGAGACGTTTCCTCGTCGACGGTCGACGCACTGTTTGAGTGTGTTGAGCTGACGCTTCATATTGATCAGTAAATGTATTCGAGAGTGTTTCCACTTGGAACGAACGTGTAGTGCTTCTTCCAAATCTCTTGGAGGTGGCGGGGCTCTGCAGTGCAATGTAATGAGAGCTGCAAACGATTCCGTTCTTTGCTTTCATTCTTCTGATCGTGCTTGTGCCGGAAATCGTGTACCCGAAGATTGTCGGTGTTAAAATGAGTCCTGATGGGAGTGTCATCGTTGGACTGTCATAGCAGATGACTTGGTGAAGTAGGTCCTGTCCTATTATAAGATGAGGAGTGACCTCAGACGATTTTAGGCTGTGCTGAGCGATGGAGATATTTCTCTTGTTGATGAAGCTCATATCGGAATGGGACAGCTTTGCTGTCCATGTTGGTGAAGTGAGTTTCTTCTTGGAGTGAATCGGTTGTCTCTTCAGTTTCCTGGTACTGTGAAGACTTTTGAGAGTTACTCCAACTTCCTTTGAGTTGAAAGTTTCTTGGAGTTCTCCCATTCCAGATGTGGTGAAAGTTGTGGAGCTTAGTGTGGGCAGCTGTAGTTGATCGGCGGATTCCGTTCTCATGAAACTCATCTGGGCTCCTGAATCGAGAAGAATGCTGATTGGCTGATATTCCATTTCAGCTTCATTAAAAATCAACGCTGATGCCGTTTGCAGCACGTGTTGAGTACACTGCGATCGTTGGGAGTCCACTGCGCAGTTTTGAAGAGACGGTATATGTGCTGTGTGTTGCAAAAACAGAGTCCTCGTTGTAAGCTTAGTAGTTTCCTGGAGCGTTATAATCTCATCGACGGCTTCAATAATGTCGTTCACTTCGAATCCTGCACCAGCTTCGTTTTCCTTCTTTATGACTTGGCTGCAGATGCTTTCGGTGAATTTGGAGAGGATGAGGCGTCTCCATACTCGGTCTGCATTCATTGGAACTCCAGCTTGTTCCAGGTGTACGATGCGAGACGATATGGCACTGAGCGTATTACGGCAACTTGTCGAGCTTCCTTGAGCCCTTGGTAGATGCTCGATCTCGTTGATCAAGATGTCCGCTATACTAGACGATCATGTCGGTATTGTCTGAGAATGCCTGACTGCGGTGTATTTGCCCAATACGGGATACTGCTGATCGAGGCCGCTTGCTTTCCTTTCACTGCTGTGGCTTTCGAGAAAAGAATTTCTCCTGATCGCTCAAGTCCGCATCGTTATGTATAAGGGACTCGAATGCAGACCAGAAAATGTTGAACTCTCTGAAGTTCCCGGAGAATGTTGGACTCGCTAGCATAGGCGTCTACACCGAAACACTTGCGTTTATAGAGATTGCAGTGTCAGCTCACTAAATGAGTTGACTCTGGTCTGTGGACAGGCTGGGTTGGTGCACTGCAGTTCCGTAGCATCAGGAGCTGGCTGCTGCCAGACTCTCCTTTCTGAACCTCGATCCTGATTTAACATTGGAGGTCTCGATTTCCAAAGCCGTTAGACTCAGTCCAGGTGGTTGTTCCAACAAATCTAGCATTAGTTTCTCTCGCTCCTTTTGCTCCGGTCGCGAACTTATTGCTTCGATTGCTTTTCCAACGTAAGCGTCGTGATGCTCTTTCGCTTTTGTAGATTGGTCGTCAAGTGCGTTGAGTTGACCGTTCTTTCTCTGATGTAGACTTCACATTCATCCTTTTGAGGAGGGAATGTGAAAGGTTGGTCCAGCTGCTTCAGATCTGACTCGCTTGACCGTATAAGCTTGCATGCAAGCGTAATCTTAGTCTTAAACAACTGGATTTCAGCCATTTTGTCCTCGATGGCTTTTATAGAAAGGAGTGATTTCTTGGTGTCCAGTTGTTCTTTAGTATTTCGCAACCAGTATGAGTGATTGCGTCTTTTTTCAACTGGATTCGGCTGAATTTTTTGGTTTTCGGATGGTTCCGTGAAGATGATGTTTCCTGCCACGCGGGTCTTCTGTGTGCTTCTCTCGGCTTCCTCTGGGAGGACGCGCGATTTCGGTTTCCCGGATCCTTTTGAAGGAATCACGGCAAAACTTCCAAGTTTCTTCTCTATATGTGAAGAAGAAACTGGTTTTGCCTACCGCTCCCTGCTGTGGGGGAAGTACGATAGGTCTTTCGATGGAGTTTCTCACGTCCTTGGTCGGAGTTGTGAGAAAACTTTGAAGATTCTTTCCAATGAATTGGAAAGAATCGGATTCTAGTCGTTCCTGTTGCTTTGAACGAGAAAACTACGCGCAGACAACTAAGCTTCGGCTTTCCTACGTCCTTGGTCGGAGTCTTTAGGAAAACTTGACGATTACCTTCTGTCTCTCACAGGGGAGAGCTAGCGCAGAAGGGGCGGAAGGTTCAACACCGGCTGATGCACCAATTTGGTGTTTACCAATGAGAGTACTCGCACGTGTAAGATTTATTACGACGTGTTCGTACTGAACCGTATAACCGACCGACAAATACACATACAAACTATGCTTATATAAATCAGGCGGAATCGTGGGCGTGCCGATGTATCGTACGATGGACTGGTTACTTAAAATAAGAGTTGAAAGAGCGCACCGTCCCAACGGGAACATATAGAGTATCTACTTGATAACGCACTTACGATACCGCTAGGTCATGCCTGCGGTACGGTTTCAAGGGTGCTTATCTTGGGAGTGCAATTGAGTGGAGCTAATATCTTATCATTCACTCTGATAGGCTGACTCAAATATACTACTTGAAGGCGCTGTGACATCCACAACACCAAATTCATAAGTGGCGGCCTGCACAGGAACAGTGGGACCTTGGATCCGAGAGTTGATATAGGGTGTGGGAAGGGAACGTTATGGGCGGGTGACAGAAAGTGATACAGTTGATAAGATCTGATAGGGCCTCGGAAGGGAAGGGTCATCAAATTCGTAACGCAGGTTACAGCAACAGTGGGACTCGGATCCGAGAGGCGATATAGGGTGATATGATAGTGATACGGGACGGGAATATTATTGGCGGCTACGGAAGTGATAGGAGCTAAAAGTGACAAGGTAACATGGAAAATCCTGCACTAACGCTCTTCTAACGGATAGAAGTCCAGAGGTACTGAAGATTGGTCGTCAGTTCCGAATCTTTGAAGAACTGTACAAGGCCTGTGGAATATTACCGAGAAACTGGGCAACCATCATACCAAACAGAAGGTCGAGAAGATTATACAGAAGGACCGCTCGCAGTTTTATAGGGCCACAGGGAAAGAACGGTCGCACTGATAGGATCGGTGTAAAGAGAGTCCCTTGAGGCTTCACATAGCCGTCAAAGCAAGTGCGAAAAGGAATGTAGCCCCTCGAAACTACCCCGTCATCGGGATTGTCTTTACGGAAGCTGGTGAAAGAAAAGAGGTTTTTGAGATGATAAGCACATGGAAGCAGAAACAAGTCTCCAAACTGCAAGAGGCTGTCGGTTAAAGACACATGGTACGCTTGCTGTGTTCAAATTCGGCCGCGCTGCGCGGATAAGAACTTGGCCAGCGCATGCCATTTGCAAGAACCTGGCCCGTTTTGAATGCGCACTTCGTTCCCCGCTTTGGGGATTGCCTGTTGGGGCGGTTTTTATTAGGTCTCCCAGTTCAAACGTTGCCGAACTGTTTTTTCTTGATAAAACAACGGAGGAGGGGATGAATAAATAGGGCAAAAGCGATATTTCTAGCTTTAGGATGAGCAAATCCCTCCTTCACCAATGACCCGCTCCCAGTGCCCCGAGGGCCTTCGGACTTCTGGTGCCTTCGATTTTTCAATAAGTGTGGGTAAATTGCTGTTGTTGCCAATTTCTTCGGCAAATGACAAAACTTTGATAGCGTATTGCCGTTGGAGCAGTACTCTTCAACTGCAATTTAGAACACGTTAGTAAATCGGCCGGATGGCTTTTTATGACGGACCGCGAATGGTTTTTACGACTTGGAAACCTCAGCGTCTCAGTTATTGTTTGTGTCCGAGCTACGATCTACAATTACAGGTTACTCGGGCGGTCTTGGTACTATGGACGGCAGCCCAACGGGTGGTCCCACCTTCTTGTAGTTGTGTCCTGGTTTTAGCGATCCATTTGTCCAGATCTTGGGGACATGGCCGAGCGGACCACGGCAATACTGCACCGACGATGGACGATTTGGGTTCCTTCTGACTGATAGGCCGCCTATGCAAAGCCACAAGTGTCGCGGAAATTCACTTTCGCTCCACTGACTGAATCCATCAGCGTCGCGGCCCACGCTACCACCCATAGGTATTAGAACTCGGGCGTCTTGCTCATCTATGCATTCATACAAATTTGACCGATTGTGAGTTTTCGGCCTCGAGCGTCCAAGACCAGCCATATGTTCATCTTAAGGCCTTATTGTTGCTTTTCACAGTTGTGCCAGTTGACATCTCATGCTGAGAACATCTACTGCCGAGGATTATAGAATCCGCCGTACTGCGTTCTAATAAGAAAAAATTGGGTACCCATGCGCCACCCTCTTGACCATCCTCAGTTTATCGGACATAACTCGGGCAGCAGTTGCAGCTGGGATGTCAGACTCGCGGGGAAGCTCGACAAGGTCCAGGCTCTGTGATCAGATATTCAGTGCCTGACTTCATCCACCCTTTTTTCTTGTGCAGGATGAATATTATGGGACCATCCACGACAACAAATTTTTTCCTTTCTTCCTTGTACGGGCTCCTGAACCAAATCTTCCACCGTGTATTTCGAGAACACCCTTACACACAACTATGGTCCGGCGCAGGTCAAATTTGAGCAGCGCACTTTCCTCTTATGACGTCTGATTTGAAAAACCGGCGCCGATTTTCACCACTCGGGCTTCTTTTCAATTTCTCGAGAACTTCTTCTGGGGCTAGGTTCGCCAAATTTCACAGATACACAGCTTAAGGTACTAGCTTTCAAATGGTATAGTAGCCCCCTGCTCTATCCCCTTTGCTTTTCTGCCATTCCTCTACATGTAGCGGCACGTTTGAATGGGATGACCTAATAAGACCCCTCAAGTAAAGCAACTTGTCTTTGAAGGGTTATAACTTTCTCTAATGCAGACCGTTAGGAGAGAAGAAAAACGCAGTCGTATCAAAAAAGATTTGAGCTTGCCCAGTATCGAATACTAGAGGGTTCCCTCTTCCCACTAACCACTTCACTTTTTTTGAAGTTTCCGGGATTCAGGAATAAACGCGCTGGGGATTTTCCGAGGAACACTCCGAGCAGCGCGAAAAACCCTTTTCTGTGGTTCACGCTTCAAGTGGCGCTTCGTTAATATCCAAAAGTGGCATCTTACAAATAGCATCCGTTCGTGGCAATAGAGAACAGAACAGTAGTCAGTTAGTCTAGTTTAGATCGTCATTACCTTCATTCTGGATGCGCCATGCTAGGGTCCCAAACGCAGAGGTAGTGGGATGGTGCAAGTTCTACGCAATGCCTGCCTACACGAGCAGATGTGTTTGTAGGTTTCGGGGAGGTCCATCGCCAACCTATGCACTTCCTTACAGTATCGCGCCCACTCCTCTGCGGAGTGTGGGACAAAAGGGGAACTAAGCAGACTATTCTTGGACATGAGATTACGCACTTAAACGGATCTTAGCCACTACTTCCGGACCATAAAATGCCAAAATGCCAAGTGATGCAGTATCAAGTCTTCCTTCTATTCAGTGTGCCACAAGTAATATTTTTTTTTCTCATATCCACAAAATCGCCATGCGAATGGTTGAGAACGTTGCTTGCTTCTAAGTTTGATACTCTTCTGCAAAAAAATTCCTGGTCCGATGCGGCATTCCTCACAGGTTTTCTTTGGAATTTCTATTTTCACTGATACTCAAGTACCCAAACTGGAGTACCAGGTTGACGCGAATTAAGCGTTGTCGCACAGCCTATCTCTTTTCGACTTCTAATTATGGAACCTAATGAAACCGACCACATTCCGATTTATGGGCAAGCGAATACCAAGTTTCTCCTTTTTCATTTGATCTGTGCAGTTATGCCTCTTATGGGTGTTGAGAGTGTTGAAGGCAGTTGGCACGATGGTTTTTTACTTAGCCTAAAATGCTAGGAGGAGCGCTGTATAGTGGGAAAATGGCGAAAGAACGGAGTGAAACGGTCAAAATCCTGCGAAGAAAAAGCCTCCGTTCTCAATGACTTGTAAATAGATTTCGGACAAGTTTCCCTTAGGCATCTTACGAATCACCGCTACACCGAAGATACGGCTGCATAGTGCTTACCCCGGGTATATGCACTGCCCAGCCATCACGGCCGCTTCATACAAATCCTTCGCCTTCATTATTTTTGCTCAGCCAAAGAATCCGTGTAGAACCGATGGCTCCGAAATCAGGACATATGGAGACATGCGATGCTCAATCCGATGCAAATGAACGTTCATTATTAAGTTCAGGCGTCTTAGACGTGACAGAAGCAGTTCTTGTCTATGATTCTTGAGTCCATAACACACAAAATACCTACCTCCTCTTGCAGTGGGGTTCTGAAAAATGAAAGGCACCGATGATTGACGTGGCTCGTTATCACTGAGGGAGATACCTTTATTTTGGTTCAATCGCAAGTCATCTACTATCTCGACGTGTCGAACTTGAAACTTTCAGGTCTGGCTGTGAAGCTGTGTTCGTAGCTGGCGACGCTATCGATTTCAGTAAAGGGAAGGGGGCACTGCATCGGGATGGGTTGAATGGCGGTGTCAGGTCTACCCTACCGCGCGTCAAATTCGGAACGATACAATTCCCTCTTTCGGTTCCTGCTTGGCGCTTCAGAAGGATCGGCGCTTGGGTAGCTCTCCTTTTTTTAACGTAGCCATGTCGCGGTGGTCTCAATCATTTGTGCCCTTTTTCTCTTTCGTGTATCATCTATCATCTATCATTCTTTTTCTTTTATGTGCGCTCACGGAGACAGGTTCTCAGTTTACCTTTTTATGAATCAAGATCTAGACATAGGGTGTAGAGCACTGCTTGCAAATATGGTAAAAAAGCTGTTATTGTTAGATAACTGCTGTTTAAAGCCGCAGTGGTCTTCAAACTTATACCTGTGTGTTTCCGTCGATTGTAGAATAACTTTAGCAAGCATGTACTTCATTTGCTTTTTGCTGTAACCACGGCATCTCTGTCAGCTCTAATTTACATACTTTCTAATCATGCCAATTCCCATGTAGTTTCAGTCAGAAACAGCTCCCTACGGAACAGCTTTTTGGATGTGGAACGCGTCGTCCACTTTTCATAATGCTGCCATAATCCAGGTTCGATCCAGTCACTTTCCCAAAGCAGAAAAGCTTCGAATCGTTTCCCGTGCTGGCACATCATTGGTTGGGGATTTTGGTCGAGTCTGTACGATCCCCCCAAAATGCGGATCGATACGACCCCCCCCCCTTCTAAGGTTCGTTGTTTTTTTTTGCCTTTTTATAGTGCCAAGCTAAAAATTCTCCCTGGCTTCTGAGCACCTCCAGCACTGAACATCACTCGGCCCAAGAATTTCTGTACTAGTTAATTTCCAAACATTCTGTAGGTACACAAAACAGGATCCTAGTACAGGAATTCAGTTTAGATGAACTCCGATGTTCTAATACATGTGTTACTTCAATTAAGATGGAAAACCATAAGGCCCGACTTTAAACAGGTGGAAATTCAAAAATTATAACGATTTTTCACTATTTTCTACCACTGCGTGTTAAGTGAGCGAGTTAGGGATCCTCACCCTCTTCGAAAACTCCTGGTAAAGAGAATCGCTCTGTTGATCTACACCGCACAGGATGCTGTGCTCCAACCTACAGACTGTTGTGTTCAAATTCGCGCGCGCGGGAAGAACTGGCAGCCATGCCATTTGAATAACTGCCATTTGAATGTGCATTCGTTCCCTGCGCAGGGCACAGCATTGGTTGGGGAATCCCCATAGGGGGGGGGTCGTATTTGGCCGCCAGGAGAGGGGGGGGTCGTAATGAGTGCGGTAGCCAGTATCGAGCAGCGCAAAGGTGTCAGTGTGCTGAATCCTGTGTAGCGGAACTTGCTTCGTAGAGAACTCGGATATGTAAAAAATGAGTACAAAACTTTCATCCATCAAACTAATCCGAAATAATTGGAATTATTAATAAGTCGACAACATCTCGTAAGTGATTAAACACTACAACTCATACTCTGGTTTGCTGCGGATGATGGGGCGTGTCCGCGATCACGCTTGGCGCTGAGCCAACCTGTTTTTTTTCTGACAAACGACAGGACTACCATATCGTTCGTACCAGACGTTTTCCAGCACTTGGTCTCCTTTATCGGAATCAGCAACTATCGGAGCACAGATCTGGCGGCGTCGACACGGACACGCTACATCACCGCAGACAAGTGCACAGGTTCGCCATGGACCTCCCTGAATCCTACAGACACATTTGCGCGCGTGGACACACATTATGCACAAGTTGCACCATCCCATCACTTCTGCGCGGACCTCAGTGCGCGGCGCATACAAAGTCAGCGTGATCGGCGCTAAACGAACCATATCCTGCTCCTGCACCACAGGATACGTTCTACATGCGTTCCTGGCTATTCGAACACGCTCACTTGAAACGGTGCACAGGAAACGGGTTTTTCGCGCGGCTGGGAGTGCTCCCTAAGAAATCCCCATCGCGAGATCTCATGAATCCCGAGAGCTTCAGGAACAGTTCCAATAGGTTTTAGAAAGAGAAAATCTTGAGAAGCTCGGATCCGTTCTCAGATTTGTGAAATGTTGAGTTACAAAAAAAATATATTGATTCAAACCTGTTCAACTCGAACTTCAACCCTTCACTCCCCAACGAATCCCTATGGCAGATTTCTCTGTGATTTTCGCGACCTTCATGAACATTTTAGTACTTTCAGGAAGATCAAACCTTCTAATTTACCAATACGCTCTCCTCTTCCCCACAGGTCCGCTTTTGAGGAAGTTATGGTCCTTCAAAGACACCCTACTTTGCTGAAAATTCTCGCTCCATGGCTAATAGCCGTTTGCTCCAGTCAAAGCTGCAATTCATACCCAACTCTGCTACCGTACGATTTCTGCGGAAATTCTGCCCCTCAAATCAAGTGCACTGGGGTCCTGCGCACAACAACTGGATTTCCATTTGTTTTAACAAATCGTTGGAGATTCTTCGAGTTTGGTAATTTTTAGGCAAAACAACATGGCCATTTATTTATCGTTCATGTTTATTGTTCCTGTTTGTTTTTTTTCTCCTTTTTCCTTCCTTTGCGCTCATAAGTTTTCCTAGTTTTACTGAGCGTTCAAAATAGCTTTGAGTTGTGTTTATTTCCTCTCGATTTTTTTCAGATTCACGTAGGGAACAATAAATAACAACTCGAAGCTATTCCTGAACGCTCACTAAAACTAGGAAAAGTTATGAACCTCTCTAGCTATGTGCAGTTGTTTCAGTCTTCCATTCCAGATGCTGTGGTCTTCAAAGCCGGTTTCAATCGTCTTAATTTACACTATGAAGTGGTTCAAAAAGCCAGACGGCGATGTCACTGCTGAACTCGCCCGACTGATAAAAACCAGGTATTATAATTTATCCAATAACTCTGACGTTTGTGTGATTGCGAGGAGCTAAACTTTCCTAGGTTGCATCATCGGCGTATGTCTAGTTCTCAAAAAGGAACTGGTGAAGAAAGTTGCAGCACAGTTTTTGGTTGTACTATTCTTTCTTCTGTTGCAATATTCCAAACTGAAGAGTGCTTGAACCTTCGACGAGTGGTCGTATTCGGAATATTGCCAGATCAGATTATTAGTGTGAGCCTCTGTGGTCTGATTTTCTGCCAAGTGTACATGATATGCCTTTCTTTTTTTTCTTTTTTTTTTTTTTTTTATTTTTTTTTTTTTTCATAGACGAGGAGCCGGTATACGTGGCAGCATTCTACCATGCCGATATGGACTCGTCCCGACGGACAGCTGTTCATGAGAAATGGGTTAGCGGCAAGTATAATGTCATCGTAGCTACTGTAGCTTTCGGTTAGTTTTCTTACATGATCTATGTACCTTTCATCTCAGTCTATACTTAGCTAGCCAACACCGGTAACACTATACGGCACTGTGGCATTTTTCCATGATATGTCGAGTTTTGGGGAGACGGCGAACACGTTCGTACTTTAGTTCGCTGCGGGCGGTTCGGCGTGTCAGGCACTATGAGTGTGCACACCGTCAAAGCCGTTCTCTGCATTTTGTTGAAGCGCGCATGCGACAAAAAGTGCTAGAAAACGATTAGTACGAACTATGTGATACAGTCATATCACTTGCTGTCTTCAGCAGTTGGTTGAGAACGGGTTTGGCACCGCGCCAAACTCATCCTACTCATGTCCTATTCACTGAAGTTGTTTTTTGATTTAGTAGTTTTTGTATATAGTGGTTTTGTATAGTGGTTTTTAGTTTTTTTTCCCATGTATATAGTTGTTTTTGTTTTACAATGAAGCTGAAGTCTGAAGCTTGTGTTTTTGTGTGAAAAAAACCAAAACCAAAAAAAGGGGGGGGTCGTACCGAACCCCCCAAAAAGGGGGGGGGGTCGTACGAGCTCGACCAAAATCCCCATCGAATGCTGTGCCCTGTTCCCGTTTTGATTGCGTTGGGGCGCGTGTTTCTAAGACCCCTTAAGTAAAGCAACTTGTCTTTGAAGGGTTATAACTTTCTCTAATGCAGACCGTTAGGAGAGAAGAAAACGCAGTCGTATCAAAAAAGATTTGAGCTTGCCCAGTATCGAATACTAGAGGGTTCCCTCTTCCCACTAACCACTTCATTTTTTTGAAAGTTTCGCGCGATTATATTCGGAATAAACGGCGCTGGGGATTTCCGAGGAACACTCCGAGCAGCGCGAAAAAACCGTTTTCTGTGTACCGTTTCAAGTGGGCGTATTCGTATATCCAAAAGTGCTCTAAAATGCATCCGTTCGTGAATAACGGACCACAAACCAGTAGTCAGTTTCGGGCCATTACTTCATTCTGATGCGCCATGCGTTTAGGGTCCCACGCAGGAGCGCCAATTGGACGTGCAATTCTACGCATGCCTGCCTACACGATGCAGACGCTGTTTTGTCAGATTCGAGGTCCATGCCAACCTATGCACTTCCTTACAGTATCGCGCCCACTACCTTGGGATGTGACAAAAGGGAACTAAGAGACTTTCTTGGGACATGGATTTCGCATAACGGATCTACCACTACGGACATAAAATGCAAAAATGCCAAGTGATAGTATCAAAGTTGTTCTATTCAGTGGCCACAAGTAATATTTTTTCTCAATCCAAAAATCGCGCGAAAGGTGAGAAGTTTTGCTTCTAAGTTTGATACTCTTCTGCAAAAAAATTCCTGGTCCGATGCGGCATTCCTCACAGGTTTTCTTTGGAATTTTTTCACTAATACTTAAGTGCCCAAATTGGAGTACCAGGTTGACGGAATAGCGTTGTCGACAGCCTCTCTTTTCGCTTTCTAAATGGAATTAAAACCGCACATTCCGATATGGGAAGCAATGCCACGTTCTCCTTTTCATTTGACTCTGCAGTTATGCCTCTTATGGGTGTTGAGAGTGTTTAAGGCAGTTGGCACGATGCTTTTCTAAACATGCTAGGAGAGCGCTGTATAGTGGGAAAATAGCGAAAGAACGGAGTGAAACGGTCAAAATCCTGCGAAGAAAAAGCCTCCGTTCTCAATGACTTGTAAATAGATTTCGGAAGAGTTTCCCTTAGGCATCTTACCAATCACCGCTACCGAAGATACGGCTGCATATGTGTACCCATATATGCATGCAGCATCACGGCCGCTTCATACCATCCCTTCGCTTCATAATTTGCTTAGCAAATGAATGAATACGAGCGTCAGGAACGGTCGTCAATTTGTGGCGGCGGCGCGTGGCGGCGTTTGGAAGTAAAGTTGATCCTCAATAGCCCCTTACTAAGGGCGCACCTTCCTTGGGGAAACCGATGCAGCGCCTGCCCAGGTTCGCGGAATTCTATCCTGCCAGGAATATTAATCCTAGTGGCCTTGAGGGATTTATCGTGCCAACTGCCTTCAAGGAGTCATCCGGACTAATTCAACTTTACCCATTCTGATGTCGCAACTGCGTTCCTTTATGATATGG